TCCTGCACCATCCTCACAATCCTGGCTATGCTTGAGCCCGTCATTGCAGCCACTGTGTCAATCCATCTTGTTGAGGGTCCTCCCCTTTTTAGCTGACCTTGAACTATACTATGCATGACATCCTTCTCCAGGGACTGGTCCTTTCTGACAACATGACTGTGGTGGTCAAGTTTGTGTGTCAGCTTGGCTAGGCCTGGTTGAATGGTTAGGCAGCTGGATGGAGTATTCCCCATGATGAGACTGGTCATCAACTCCATGGTGGAATCTACTGGGAGCAGCTTAGTAGCTGCCTTAGGGATGTGGTCTGCTTCCTGTGTATAAGGAGAAGAGTTGGGGAACAATCTCTAGCTTATGGCCACTTTGAACCCTGCATTGTTCAGCAGCCTGCCACGCTCCACCAATCTTGGGACTTCATCTGGACTTGAATTAAAGTCCTGCCGTGTGGTTTGGTAGCATCAGGACTGTGCTTTTTACTTGTCAACCTTGGGCTTGGCAGCCTCAGCAGCCAGCAGCTGAGTGAAGAAAAGCCTCCAGCTTCATTGGGCTGGGAGCAGGAGGCAGAGCTGAAGCCCAGGGCTGAGGGGCTTTCACCCAGCCCCTAGAGCCTGGCACTTTGAACTTGGACTTAAAGCTTTCAAACTGTAAGAGAATAAAACTCTTGTTTGTTAAGGCCATCCCGTTTGTGGTATATTCTTGTTAGAGCATCACTAGGTAACCAGAACAATGACCAAACTACCTGAGGGTAAGTTTGGCCATTCTCACTTCTAAGAAACATTCTAGCTGTAATTCTTCCAAGACAGAACTGTTTGTTCTTCTAGTAGTCCATGGTACTTTCAATATTCTTTGCCAGTGCCACAATAAAAATGCATCAATTCTTCTTTGTTCTTCTTTATTCATTATCCAGCTTTCACATGTATATGTTGTTGTTGCTGCTGTTATGTGCCATGAATCGGACCTGAGTCATAGCGTCACCTCCTTGGGTTTCCAAGGCGGTATCACTATGGAAGTAGATTGCCCAACCTTCCTTCTGAGGAGTGGCTGGTGGGTTTGAACCGCCACCCTTCTGGTATATGAAGCAAGTGAAAATATCATGGTTAGGTTAGGTGCATCTTGGTCTTCAAAGTAACATCTTTGCTTTTTAACTCTTTAAAGAGGTGTTTTGTGGCAGATTTGTCCAGTGTGGTATGTCATTTGATTTCTTTACTGCTGCTTCTGTGGGCATTTATTGTGAATCCAAGTCAAATTAAATCTTTGACAACTTCAATCTTTTCTCCATTCATCATGGTGTTAGGACGTTTGGTGGTGTAGTGCCTAAGGCATTTGACTGCTAACCAGGAGATTGGCGGTCCAAACCCACCAGCCACTCCATGGAAGAAAGACTGGGCAACCTACTTCTGTAAAGATCCCTAGCCTTGGAAACCCAGTGGGGGGGTCACTATGAGTCAGAATCAACTCAGTGGCAGTGAGGTTTTTATCATGATGCTGCTTATTGGTCCAGTTGTGAGGATTTTCTTTATGTTGAGGCGAAATCCATACTGAAGGCTGTAGTCTTTGATCTTCATCAGCAAGTGCTTCAAGTCTTCTTCACTTTCAACAAGCAAGGTTGTGTCATCTGCGTATCGCAGGTTATTAATGAGTCTTCCTCCAATCCTGATGCAATGTTCTTCTTCATATAGTCCAGCTCCTTGGATCATTTTCTCAGCATACAGATTGAGTAAGTATGGGGAAGGGAGACAACCCTGACACACACCCTTCCTGATTTTAAACCATGCAGTATCCCTTTGTTCTCTTTGAAAGACAGCCTCCTGGTCTATGCACAGGTTCCTTATGAGTACAATTAAGTGTTCTGGAATTCCCATTCTTCTCAGTGTTATCCATAATTTGTTATGATCCACACAGTCTAATGCCTTTGCATGTCAGTAAAACACAAGTAAACATCTTTCTGGTATTCTGTGCTTTCATCCAAGACCATCTGACCTCAGCAATGATATTCCTTGTTCCATGTCCTCTTCTGAATCTGGATTGAATTTTTGACGGTTCCCTGTCAATATACTCCTGCAACCACTTTTGAATTATCTTCAGCAAAATTTTACTTGTGTGTGATATTCATGATATAGTTTGATGATTTCCACGTTCTGATGGATCACCTCTCTTTGGAATGGGCACAAATACGGCTCTTCCAGTCAGTGGGCCTGGTAACCACCTTCTAAATTTCTTGGCATAAATGAGTAAGCACCTCCAGTTCTACACCCGTTTGATGAAATGTCCCAGTGGGAATCCCATCAGTTCCTGGAGCCTTATTTTTCACCCATTGCCTCAATGCAGCTTCCATTTCCTCCTTCAGTACCATTGATTCTTGATCATATGCTACCTCCTGAAATGGTTGAACAGTGACTGATTCTTTTTGGCACAGTTACTCTGTGTATTCCTTCCACCTTTCTGGGTATAAACATTTGATGGTTCCTACATCATTCAATATTTGTCCATAGAATCCTTCAGTATTGCAACTCAAGGCTTGAATTTTTTCTTCAGTTCTTTTGGTTTGAGAAATGCTGAGTGTGTTCCTTTTGATTTTCTTGTTCCAGTTGTCTGCACATTTCATTCTATATAGTACTTTCCTTTGTCTTCTCGAGCTGCCCTTGGAAATCTTCTTTTCGGCTCTTTTACTTCATCATTTCGTCCATTCATTTTAGCTACTCTCTGCTCAAGAGAGTTTCTGCTGACATCCATTTTGGTCTTCTCCTCCTTTCCTGTCTTTAATGACCTTTTGCTTTCTTCACGGATGGTGTATAATCCACTCATAGATTGTGGTTATCATTGTCATTGCAGGATTATGTGTGTAACAGTGTCGGCCTTTGTTGCCTTTAACTCTATGTTCCTCTCAGTGTCTTTCTCTGCTTTGATCATTTTGTGTGGACCTGCCCCTTCCTGCATGTTGTCTTTCACCCCAGTTAATACGTGTCTACCCTCTAGTTAGTGATTTACCCCCTCTTCCTTCCCACCCCTGGTAACCTTTAAAGAATGATTCTTTCTGTGAGTAAATATTTTCTTGACTTTTTGGAGTGATTGTTTCTTTGATCTTCGTAAGTGCTTCAAGTCGTCTTCACTTTCAGTAAGCAAGGTTGTGTCATCTCTGTGTCCCAGGTTGTTAATGAGTCTTCCTCAGATCTTGCTGCCACTTTCTTCTTCATACGGTCCACCTCTTGGGTTATTTGCTCAACATACAGATTGAATGAGTGTGGTGAAAGGATACAACCCTAATGTACACCTTTCCTGATTTAAACCACACAGCATCCCCTTGTTCCACTATTCTCTTGGTCTATGTACAGGTTCTGTGTGAGCACAATTAAGTGTTGTGGAATTCCCATTCTTCACCTGTCCTAATTTGTGAGAACCCATGACCAGAGAAGATTGATGAATGGATCAAGGTCAACCTGCAGGGCAGCCCTGGGCTGTGAACATTTTAATGAGTGACTCGGATGAAGCAGGAGACATGCTTTGCCTGTCTCGGATGACACAAAGCTGGAGCAACTGCTAGTGTGACAGATGGCTGAATCAAGACCTGGAATTACTGTGACTGACTCACGCAGTGATAAGAGTCAATGGGAAGTCTTGCATTTAGGCTTTACGGTGCGAGTGGGTTAGGGAGACCAGGCCTGGCAGTTGTCATAGTGGCCTGGAACCTGAAGTTAGGAACATGCTAATATAGTCTTCAAATGTTTGAAAATTGCCCTAGACAAGAAAGACTAAGCTTGCATCTGTATCCTGTAAAACCGATTGCCATTGAGTTGATTCCGGCTCACAGAACCCCTAGAGGACACAGTAGAACTGTCCCATAGGGTTTCCAAAGCTGTCAATCTCTACGGAAGCATAATGCCTCTCTTTCTCCTGCAGAGCCGCTGGTGGGTTTGAACCAGTGACCTTTTGGTTAGCAGTCCAACACTTTAAGCACTGTGCCATCAGCACTCTTCCGTATCCCCTATAGTAGGATAAAGAGGGGTCCCTGGGAGGTGCCATGGGATTGAGTACGTGCTCAGCAGCAAACCAAAGGCTGAAGGTTCGAGGCCAGCCAGAGGTGCCTTGGAAGAAAGGAAGACCCGATGGTCTCCTTTTGAAAAATCAGCCATTGAATGTGTGTGGAGGTCAAGCGTAGCCTGACACGCACGGGTCACCGTGAGTCAGAATCACTCAATTTTAGGGTAAGAAAGTGGAATTTCCTGGGGTACAGTTTTCAGCTGAGTATACAAAGATTTATTCTAATGGTTCCAATATCAGATCAGGCCATCTCTGAAACTTTGAGGTGATCAGACTGTGCTGGAAAGAGTCATTCTGTGGGCTTCATTTTAAACCACAGATTCCCCCCCACCAATGATTCTTTTTGACAACTTATTAGTCAAATCAGACACACACACACGGTTCCAGAAAACAGAGAGGTGATAACGTAGCCCAGCTTAGCACCCTTGTAAGTTTGCACCAAAATGACAAAGTGGCCCCTTGCCTGGAAGGGACATCCAGGACCCCTGGACGCAGCGCTGACTGGCCCCCTTCAACTTTGCTCCACTGTCTCACCCGTCTTCACTGTGGGCCCCAGCGCATGCCCACTCCTGCCGTCCCACGTGGGCTCCACTCCTAGCTCACGCCTACCTCCCCCAGCGTGGAAGCCCACAGTCAGAGCACCAGAGCCACGCCCTCCCTGCCCAGCCCCTGCCCTGTGGCCTCCGCTTGTGCTTGGGACCCTGCAGTTTCCCGAGCCAGGCTGGCTTGTGAACTGCCTGCACTGACAGCAAAAGGGATGTCCCATGTGCCTTTTGTCCCCTGCTCTGAACCGTCCCTTCCACTTGCTAACCCAGAGTCGGAGAGGACACGGAGAGGCTGGGTGGCAGCCCTGTTGCATCTTAGGAAGTAGTTTTAACAAGACAGTAAACACGTTTCACTTCTAGATGCACAAATCTGCTGCCCCGTGGCAATCGCGCCGACCACTGGCTCCATCCTGTACTTACATGCTCATCGAAGAAACGGTCCACCTCTCTCAGAAGCTTCTCCTGGCAGTCAGGGTGGGTGGCCAGCAGGTAGGTGGCAAAAGAGAGCGTGTTGGTGACGAACTCGTAGCCAGCGATGAGGAAGATGAAGGCCTGGCCCACAATCTCGTCCATGGTCAGGGGCTTTGGTGGCCCTCGGGGCACATGTGGCTGTGGAGGAGGAGCCGGGCACTCGGTGGAGGAGAAGACCTGTGTCACGGCATCGAAGCTCTCCACGCCCATGGCGCTGGCCCCCTGGCGTGTGTCTAGAACCATCTGGAGGAAGTCCTTCCGCCTCTGCAGAACGAGAGGAGACAGAACGCATTGGACTGTAGAGCCGCGTAAGAGGTTCTTGGAGCACAAAGGAGGAACGTGTGTGCAGCTTGGAGAGAACTCGGTTATCTGAGATGGGGGAACGGAGCCATCAGAACGTCACTACTGCCACGTAGTCTGTATCGGTTCTGGTGGAGCCCAGCAGCGGGCTGGGGTCAGCCGCTGGAAAGGACGAGGCCGTGCTGCACGGCTGACGTGGACAGTCGTCAAGCCACCTGTCGGGTCTTGCTGAGACTCACAGTGACCCCGTGCACCATGGGAATGGACTGCCATGGTCCAAGGCTTTTCATTGGCCGGTGTTTGGCCTGGCCTCCCTGTCTGTCTGAGTCTGGAAGTTCTGCGGAAACCTGGGCAGCACCTCAGAAGCACGCAAGCCTTCAGTGACAGACGGGGAGTGCTGAGGGTGAGGTGGCCTGGCCGAGAATCGAACTCAGGTCTCCAGCAGGGAAGGTGAGAATTCTACCACTGAGCCATTTAAGGGAAAGAGTGAGTTGAAGAACAGTACATACACTAGGCTGTCACGGCTGCACTGAAGTATTTAACACACGTAATTATCAGTGTGTCGATGGGCAGAGAACATTTAGCGACCTCCATACCCAAACATTCACAGTGGCTGCCTGGGGAGAGTGGGATGACCGGGTGCGAGAGCCAGGAGGAGAGGGCTGTTCTGTTTCTTAACTTTATACATGGTTATAAGAGCCCTGGTGGCACAGCGGTTACAGCATTTGGCTGCTAACCAAAAAGTCAGTGGTTTGAACCCACTAGCCACTCCATGAGAGAAAGATGAGGCAGTCTGCTTCTGTCAAGATTGATAGCCTTGGAGACCCTGTGGGGCAGTTCCACTCTGTCTTCTAGGGTCACTATGAGTCAGAATCAACTTGTTGCTGTGTTTTCTTGATATATATAAAGAAGTATATAGAAACTGTTTATATAAAATACACTGTTGGTTGAAGCTCCTATGTAATGCAAATAGTTAACATGCTTAACTGCTAACCAAGACATTGGTGGTTCAAGTCCACTCAGAGACACCTTGGAAGAAAGGCCTGGTGATCGGGCACTGAAAACCCAGTGGCACCCAGTTCTACTCTGACACACGTGGAGGGGCCGTGAGTCGGTGTCGACTTGACAGCACTTGGTTTATTTACCGCTCGGTTGCGTACCTAAAGCACTCTCCTGCTGTGCCCACCCTGGATTGCTCCAGCATCCTTTGCTGCACAAATTACTGGACAGCGTTAATTTTTTCTCACACAGTAAAATATTCATAGAACGGGGTTTGGTGAATCTTGTCTTCAAAGCCTCCAGGCTCTGCATCTCGAACCCCATCTCCTCACCTCCTCATACAGCTTCCTGTGTGTTCTCCACAGCCCCGCCCCCACCGCGAGTGGGTGGAGCTTTCTCACCTCCCTGCCTTCCCCATCAGTAGGCTGCTGTTCTCTGTGAGGTGATGGCCAGGACCAATGGTGGTGTTTGTGTCTTGGCTCAGAGCTGACCGGAGCACCCCTTCACCGAGAAGCTCTTTAATGTGACAAGTGACAGCCGGTAAGCTCCTCCTCTCTGACGTTCTGGGACTCAGGCCCAGAGAGAGTGTCGGAACCGCCCGCAGGAACACGTGCCAGCTGCCGCCTTGGTCGGTCGTGGCTTTGTAGCATTGCTCCTCTGTGCCGTGTGCACCAGCACGAATTCCACCTTCTGAAGGGACTTGCCATGTCTCACGGGCAGGACCCAATCCCCCATCCCCACTGGGGGCCTGCGCCCCAGCTTTCCTGCCCCTTGTCCTGGCCGTGCACACGTGAGGTCCACGTGAAGAGCTACACAGGTGAAGTGGCGTGCAGCCAATCTTTTTGAGGGAGGGCATGTTGAGGTCGACTGCAGCCACCTGCTGTTTGGAGCAGAGGTCTTCAAAGCTCTCCTGCTCCTCTGCTCTGTGACTTGGGGGGGCGTCCTGGCCCCGGCAGTCCTCCTGGCTAAGCCTGTGTGGTTGGAACCTTGAGCGAGGGCGACCAAGCCTCTGTCCAGCTCCACCTGGCCCTGAGCATCCTGATTTCCAAGGTGCACCCCCAACACTGGCTGCCCCAGCTTCCCTCCAGCTGCTTGGTCTTATTGGTGGCTGCTGGAGACCCTGCCACACCTCCTTCTGGCAGCGGGGTAGGGCAAGGTCATAGGTTACCCAGGAGCAGTGGGTGTCCTCTCCTGCCCCAGTTTCCGGAAGCCACTGGCAGAGAGCAACTGCAGACTCCTCGGCTGGTCTGTTTGAAACGCCTCTGGACACGATACAGCGGGGTCCTGGGGAGGGGGGGTGGCAGGCAGGTGCCCTGTCCACATGGGCAAAGCTGCAGCTGTGGTCCTCTTACCAGCTCTGCCCCCACAGAGGGGCTGCGGGAGCCCCAGCAGAGGCCAGCTTCCCTCCATCTGCACTGCCCGACGAAGGCCATTTGAGTGCTGCCCGTTTAGACAGCACCAGCGCCAGCTCGCGGTGACAGCCAAGGAGAGTGCAGACCCTGACGGATGTCGCATCTGATCTGCCCATCGGCTGGAGCTTGGAACAATATTTACCTTTCCACATCTGTGTGGCATTTTGCTGCGCAAACACACATCTGCTTGATGGAAGTGCTCTGACGGTTACCCCGAGCTCTGCAGCAACCTGAGCCGAGGCCGGGCTTTGTGGGGGGAAGGCTCTCAGATCAGCTCCTTGTGGAAACAAATACCTCTTGTTTGCGAAAGGGAAAAACTCCCCGCAGTCCCAGTAATTGGATCTTGAAGAACTTCTCACCTCCAGGTTCCTCCCAGCAACGTTCTAGAATTTTCAGGCTGATTCCACAGCCTGGTTTGAGGCTGGGAGGGGGGTCTGAGCAGACTGCCAGTGGGAAGCCCCCATAGCAGCCTTGGGAATGGCATCCCCTCCCCTCCCCTGCCCTGGTGCACCCTGGCTCTCTGAGGAGGGGGCTGAACCCCAGGGAGGCTACCCTGCGCTTTCCAGCCTCCGAGCCAGGGCAGGGAGGCCAGCTGCGTTTTCTCCCACCTTGAAGGGTAGCGTGGGCATGCTCACAGGATCCCAGGCCTTTGCTGACCCTGGCCTGGCATCGGGGGGCTGGGCAGTGGGATGTGGCTGCACCCAGCCCTGCAGGGTATCCAGCCACCCACTGACCCAGTTTTCATGCCAGGCTTCGCCCGTTGGGCCTCACAGCCTCTTGCCACTGATCGCTTCCAGTCACCCAGGCTCCAAGAAAATGCTTACTGAAGCTCCGTCTTGAGCACGTCACTTAAGGCACTGATGTTTCAGTCAGTTTTCCTTTTCAGCAGTTTTACTTTGTGCAGGGAAGCCCGTCAGGGCCACAGTACACCCGCAGGAGCAGATCCAATAGTGACGCTCATTCCCTTAATCCAGCCAGTTCCCACTTCTGTGCGGTGCTAAGCCCAATCCCTAGTCACTGCAGGCCTACTGTGTGCAAAGCATGGGGAAGCCTGCCAGCAGTTGGCACGCCGACCCTGCCCCGCGGCACCCGTGTGCATCAGGGGTGAGCACCGTCGCGTTTCCGTGGCCAATTTTTCACAAATATTGCCAGACTCTCTTCCAAGGTGCCTTATAACTCCCAACCTTCTGTTAGGAGCCGAGTGCACTAACTGGACCATGAAGGAGGAAAGAAAAGGCCAGTCTGGTGTGAAGCACACCAAAGGCACCAGTGGCCCTCACTGTGCGTCCTTCTCCCCACCAAGAGGGAGTGAGGGATGGACCCACGGTGCCTGGACTCCTGTCTGATACCCATGCTGTTCTGGCCCTAAGACTAGTTTGCTGTTTTTCAATAAACATGAGAACTAGCTCATGAACATGACATGTGGGCATGTTGATCCACAACATTCTTTGGGGCTGCTATAACCTGTGCTTGGGATGGTGCTTGAAGTAGAACATGTCGGCCTGGGGGCAGCTCCAACCCCACAGCCCGAGTCAGAGGATGGACAGACTGCTCGCGTGTCCTTGGCCACCCCACCCTCTCTCTTTCTCTTTCGCCGTTCCTCGAACTTGGTCCCTTCCCCTCCTGGCCTGAGAGAACTGTAAGTGGGGGTCGCCGAAGGGCAGCAGGGTGCGGGCCGGGAGGGACGAGGAGGGGGGCTAGTGATGGTGAGTTCTGTCCCACCCCACCGTAGCCAGGCCCCAGTGCGAGCCGTTACCTCGCCGGCAGCTTGCTGGTCCCGCGAGGCCGTCACATTCCTGATAAGTTTGTTGAAGAAGTTGTTTGGCTCCTCTCGCTTCTTATTGGGCAAAACCCGGGCCAGTGGGACCATTACGGACGGAAATGATACTTGAAGGAGAAGAACACAAACGGTGTTGAACGGAGGGTGGTAATAGACCAGGGCATGAGCTGCCTGTGAGCAGGAAGCACCCCCTCCCCCGTTGGAGTCATTTTGTGGGACCGTTTGCCCTGCTGACGGCTGCTCCACCGGGCCGGGCTCTGTCCTACCCCATCCACGCACTCCTCACCATTCCCTGCACACAGTAAGCCCTCGGTAAGTTCTGGACCAAGTCCTCGCCTGTCTGGGCTTAAGAGCTCCATCTGACACATGCCCATGAGTTTCCCAGGGCCCCAGAGGGAACAAGGCCAGGCCAAGGCCAGGCCACGAGCCTCAGCAGGTGGCCTCGCCTTTCGGAGCACCTTTGCCATTTGCATTTCTTTCCCTTGGAATAATTGTCCCCAGAGCCATGGCCTGAACTGTCCCCAAGAGCGGCCCGGGGCTGCTGACAAGAACGCTGGCCTCCTCCCTGGCTGCTCCTGGGCAGTGGGTGAGGGGCTCGGCTTAGGCCGTTGTCCGGCATGGTGGACCTACTTTGAGGCGCCCCACATGGGCATGAGCTGAGAGCATCGCCTGGGACCCGTGAGTTCTCAGTGCTGCTTCTAAGGGCTGAGAAGGCAGGGCTCAAGGGGACTGAGACATGAGGGCGGGTGGCAATGGACCAGCAGGACCGACCACTGCCCACATGACGTGTCTTGGGTGTGATGGAGCAGAGGAGCTGTGGGCGGGTGGTCGGCAGGGAAGGGGGTGGCCTGCCCCCATCACGACTGCTCCTGCAGTCACAGTGTTGAGCTGACAGACTAAGAAAATGGGGATGAAACCGACCAAGAAATGAGTAGACTCCACCAGCCCAGCAGAATGGTTACAGGCGATGGCGATAATCAACAACAGTGATAGCTCCCCAGTGCTCCATACGAGCAGAGACACGGGAGCTGGCTGGAGGCGGAAACTCACTGCTGAGATAAAAATAACAGGAACTGACTCGTCCGTGCAGTGGGTGGCCGACCAGTCACCCTTCATGTGCAATTGCTAATTTACTGCGCTCTGGGTTTCAGCGTGGAGAAGTCTGGAGGAGGGCTTTGCAGGAGGGAAGAAATATGCCCTAGAAAACTCTGTTTCTCTAAGCCTCAATTTTCTCATCTGTAAAATGGGTGGGTGCGAGGATTGACTGAAGCGATGTGACAGAGCCCTCAGCACCCTCAGTGGTGGTGTGAGCACCAGGGCCACGGGCTGGACAAGCAGGGTGTGGGTGGCTCCAGGAAGACAGTGCACCCCAGGGGGATTGTCAGACACCCCAAGGGCCCTCCCCTGGTGGCAGGTGTTGCACAGGAGCTGTACTTACAGATCAAAACCAGGATGGGTCTGGGGATGGAGAATTCGAAGAAGCGCCTACAGTGCTTCACAAAGGGGTGCTCGGGTGCCTCCTGGGAGTCGAGCCGGGTGCCGAAGGCGACGCTGGCCACCAGGTCTGTGCTGTAACAGCTGTAGCACCTGCAGGAGGAGGGCGCAGCTGAACTTTGGAGGATTCCGTCATTGCTGCAGGCCCTGGCCCTGGACAAGAGGCAGCTTCCTGCACCTGGGCCAGGTGTGTGTATGGTGGACTAACCACCCACGGACTAACCACTGCACGTTCATGGCCGCCTCAGCATGGGAGCCCCGCTTTGTTCCCATTGGTGCCCCACTGTAAGTGGGGTTTACTTATTCCATCCATCCACGCTTTTCGAGCTGCTCCGATTTCAGTAGCTCTCTGGCCTCCAGATAACTGCCTTGCAGCGATGTATGAGAACAGCACTTGAACACAGTGAAGTCTCTCCTGCAGGGGGCGCCCTTACCTCTGGATGTTGAAAGTGGCCCCGGAGTCTGCATAGCGTTCTAGATGAGTCAGGAGAATGTCGCAGGCTTGGCTGATGAGGGGAGTCACCTGAGAACAGACAGGAAGGGTGTAGTTAGGAGCCCAGTGGGCTGTGCCTTCAGGGGTGGTGTGTGTTGCTTCCTGAAATATGGATGGCTAAGCATCAAGAGAAGATTCGACATTCACAAGTATCTGAAAATACCGTAGTTGTAAACTTCTCCTTTAGCTTAACTGATATTTTTTGGAAGCAAAAACGTGAAAGATTTTAGAGTAAATACTGTAAGATAGTCAAGACAACGATCATTGAGTGCCTGGTCAAAAGTGAGACTTGCACCCATATTACGACAGGTGGTGAGTGCCACAGAGTGCACAGACAGCAGTCCCCAGTTACAAACATCTGACTGCCACTTGACCTGTGGTTACGAACCCGCCCCAGAAAGCCAGCCCGTCACGTTAAACACACAAGGTACACACGCAAGGAACACAGTGGTTTGTAATAAGAAATGGGTACTACCTTATGATGTGTATCAAACATTATTATTATTACTGGATTGTTTTGTTAAAGATGTTTTAGTGTATCTGGAAGTGTTTCATTTGTTTATCCATGGACACATACTACATACCAGGACATCTACATACTAGATACCAGGACAAACACTTAACTAATGGATGCTAGATACCAACCATAGCAATGGTTCCCACTTACTACAGATTCAGTTTAAAGGCAGATTTAGAAATAGAACTCGTTCACCATCCAGGGACTGCCTGTCCTAGCTCTGCAATTAGCCAAGATGCATGTTTTATTGGTTCCAGCTACACTTTAGCTCTTCCACTAGGATATAGAATCTTGGCATCCAAAAGGGCCTGGGGTGGTGTGCACGGTTGATGCTTTCAGTTGCTAATGGAAAGGTTGGAGGTTCAAGTCCACCCAGAGGCCTCGGAGGAAAGACCTGGTGACCCTCTTCTGGAAAACTCACCGTTGAAAGCCCCACGCAGCACGGTTCTTCTCTGACATACGGGGTTGCCGTGAGTCAGTCGACTCAAAGGCAACTGCACCCCCCGCCTGCCTTCCTCCCTTCCACAGGACGAAGCACAGAGCCTGTGGCCCTGAACGGAGGAGCTACTTGAGGGAGCCCCAGAATTGTCCACCATCACTGCTTCTGACTCTTCAGCCAACTGTGGACGACCTAAGTAAACACTCACTGAGGCATGAGGTAGTTAGGGTTGTGTGTCAGCTTGGCCGGGCCATGGTTCTGAGTGGCTGGGCAGTTGGATGTACTTATTCCCCATGATGAGACTATGATCACCTCCATGGTGGAGTCTGCTGTCAGCAGCTGGGTTTGGCCTTC